TTGTTTAATTAGGAATATCTTGAATTCATTTCGTTTATTTGTTTACCTCCTAGTTAGCTAGATCAAAATATTTAAATCAACTCTCTAGTTCAACAAAATTGGTGAGTTTTTCTTCATAATTATGGTTTTTTCGAAGGTTTTTCAAAATCAACAAACCCCACTAACCATGATATACACTTTGAGAATTGTGAGTGGGATTTTCTTTCCATAAATTAGTAGTCACAAACTATAAATTGTTCGGTGATAAAAAAATTATTTTTTAAGATCTTTGTAAGACCGCAAGATGATAAAAGTAATTAATATCTATCCATCACATAATAGCTCAAAGATTATTTCTGGCAAATCTCTTCTAAGTACAAAAAAGAATAGTAATAATTTTAAGGGGTGTGATGTCAGATTCTATATTTATTTTTTAAAAGTTATTAGTTACTTATATAATTATTAATTTATAAAATTAATTAAAATATTACAAGTTGATCAATACATCCACCTTAATTATATTTAAAAAAACAGACAGCCACAATAAGATAATTAGGTCTTTACCTGCTGCAGCTCAATAATATATAAATCAAGAAAATTGTGACATCAAAGCGATTCATTTTCCGCTGACTGTGATGGGATAAAAAGTACTAATTTTTTCGTGCAGACAAACAGTGTGAGTGTTTGGCTTTAGCAAAGCGACATGTCATATCAGTCATACTCTTAGATTTTTAGGCTTCCTTCGCCTTTTTTAAAGGTCAACCATTACTGCTTATTGGGTGTTCGAGAACGTCCTAGTTTTTATTTATTTTTTAAATATATATTTTACTTAAAAAAAAAAACTTTTAAGTTGGTAGTTCTTAATTTTTGTAATAATTTCATTTGATGGGTTAAGGTAAAAAAATATAAAAAAAATAATTTTATAATATTTTTAAGTAAAAAATATTTTTTTATAAAAAACCTAATCTATAACTAAATACATCTTAAGACATCAAATAGTTATAATTCTAGATAAAAACATCATGGATTGTCTGCAAGAACACTGGATTCACCAACAGTATTCCTCTGCACAGTTTTTAAATATGATTTTACCCTCAAAATCATATCATAAACCTGGTTCATTTGTATCAAAATAATTTAATTAATTGATTGATGTAGCTTAATCTATGTATAAACATGTTGAGGTCATTAATTAGAATATGTGCAAGCTTCTTTATTTTTAATAAAAGACTATGTACAAGTTTAATCCTGTTATATTTATTTATTTACTTATTAAACGTCACATATTAAGCTTCTGTCGGCCCAAGAGATCAAATCACAACCGACATGACCCGGGATTGAATGATTGATCATAACAAGACAATTAAATTAATCGAGACCCAAAAATTAATATTAATTCCACTGACTTCTTTCTTTTTTTCTAAATCAATTTACAATAATTAAGACCGCATTACAGACTGCGGGGCTGTCTAAAATTATTGGATTTCATAATAATTCTTGACTTCCTTTTTTGGAAGAAGATAATGTTGTTGCAATTCTTTTTTTGTAAGGTCGTTGATTCCTTTATTATTTTATTATTATTGATAATTACAGCTTTTGAAATTGGATTGGGACTTGTTTTTCTTTCTCGGGCCTCCTCGTAAAAAAGATTACTAATTAGCGTCTTCCTATAAAGAAGCAAAGGCTCGTTTTGTAGTTGCATTAGAGTAATTTTTGTTTATTTTTATGTTTTAAAAATATTTTTTAAAAAATTAATTTTTATTTTATTTTTTAAAATTAATATTTTTTTGGAGTTTTTAAATAATTTTGAAGAGCTAATTTTAAAAATAATTTGGAGTTTTTAAATCATTTTGAAGAGCTAATTTTAAAAATAATTTTTTAAAAATAAAAAAATATTATTTTGATATATTTTTAAATGAAAATTATTTTCAAAAGCAACCACAAGTATACTTTGAATAAACATCTCTAATAATTTGTTTTTGTATTTTGATTTTTTTGTGTTTTTATTGATGTTAAAAATAATTTTTTAAAATAAAAAATATATTATTTTAATATATTTTTCAATAAAAAATATTTTAAAATATAACTATAACCATACTTCCAAACATATATAAAGTCATTTATCAAATATCAATGACTAATTAAAAGCAACCTCAAGACAGCACTGAAATATATCTGTATAGGTAAACTAGCAATTAAAGATTTAAAACAAGAAAAATAAACAAAAATAAAAGAAAAAAAGAAAGAAAGATTGAAAATCATTATGCTTATGATCATTCACCTTGAACAAATCATATATTAATATAATCTCCAGCGAGAGAAATCAAGAAAAATCGAGAGCTATACGTATGCATCTCGCATCTCGTCATACAGCTAAAGCACAAGTGATTAGAGGCCATGGATAACACGAACAAGAGAGCTCAAGGAATCTTTCTTTTGTGGGGGTGGTGGTGAAGAGATGGCATGGCTTGATATAGAGGAGGCCATGGATATCCCCGAAGGGATCCTTGGATTTTATAATCGTGGTCCATGACCCAGTATTGTACCTTTCAATAAATCACAAAAAATAAAATAAAATAGCAAGCATGTCCAAGCTAATATGCCAGTTCATATATATCATGATATTAATAAATAATGTCTCATTGGGTGGGAAACTCTTTGGATCATGACTCCTGTGATGCCTTTTCCAGGTATTAGATTCATAGAAAATATATTTTTGTCACCTTTATAAACATTCCTTCTAGGTTAAACAGAACCACAGCCATGTGTTCACAACATCCCATATATATATATATATATATATATATATATATCATAGCTACGAGCTAGCTCTTGCCAGATGCAATATCACATCGGTTATGCTCCTTGACGTGAACTGGTCTCAGAGTGTCGACCACATGCTACGTTTTTCTGAATATTCCTAGTTTTCAGGCTCAAAATGCCATGTTTTTCATGTCCCTAGCTGCTGGAACTCTTATCTAGATGTTATAAGACTATAAAAATGCTAACTCATCTAGGGAGTATGTCATATGCTAATTCCTATCTATGATGATCTCCCGATTTCTAATTAAAAGCTAATATGACCGGATAAATATGTATATAAAAGAACATTTTAAAGGCTAAATGGAAGAAAAAATGAAAATAAATACACCTTTCGATAAAAAAAGAAAAAGAAAAAGGAAAAAGCCTTTGACAAACATCCCATGCACGCCCAACTCGATCCTTCTAGGATTTGCCAGCCATTATCAGCCGACCCTCGATCAAATCCTTTATGTAAAGTATCGAACAAATCACAGCGTAAAGCACTGGCGACGAATCTGCATCTACTGTCATGAAAATTAATTGAATCACCAACCTTTATTAACTTCGATTAGGTGTTGTTGGGGGTTATTATAGTGGTTGATTTTAAAAGTGTTTTTTATTTAAAAATATATTAATTTTTTTAAAAGAATTAATTTTAATACAAGTATAGAAAATAAACTTAAATAAAAATTTAAATTTTAAAAAAATACAGTTCAAATCCGGGTCCCACATCTGTTGAATTTGAGATGATATTTCTTTTAAAGCTTTTATTGCGTTGGATTCCCTTGGGTATGCTCGTAGTCAAATTCACTTGTCAACCTTTGTTGGGATCAAACCATAAAAGAATTAGGTTGATTGTTTTCAACCTTTAACCCATACACAAGTTAATGCTATTTGTATGGTAGATTCTGTTCACCTGCTAACCTAACTATTTATTTATGGGTATTAATTGTTTTTGTATTTTGAAAGTATTTTTAAAACATTTTAAATGTATTTAATTTTTTTATTTTAATCCAATATTTTTAGTATTTTTAAATTATTTTAATATAATGATATAAAAAATAAAAATAATAATTTTAATTACACCTCTAAAATAAACACTCTAGAAGACCAATTCTACACACATTTATTACAGGAAAAAGATTATATTAAGACAAAGTTCATCCGATCCATGACATGATAACTGCTCCAATTTTAGTTGCAGATCGATTTGGGGATGCAAATAATAAATATTAATTGAGCTGTAAACTTGAATTCCAATAATTAAAAAGGAACAATACATTTTTAATTAACCGTTTTCCTTCTAATAATCCTTGCTAATAGACTTATATGGTATTTAATAGAAAAATACTAATTTCATTTCTTGTTAATTATTAAAAGTGCTTAGCAAGTTAAAACACGTTTCGAAATTAAAAATCACTTCTCTCCCAGGTGCTATCCGTGCAAACCTAACCATCTAATTGAATTGACAGATGAGAACAGAATAATATTTTTTTTTTTTTTATTGCAACGAAGGGAATTTCGTAAAAACCAGAAATAATTCCATGAAATCAGGCAAATCATGAAATTATTAAGACAATACAAGAGATAGAGAATAAAGCAATTAAAAAAAAAAGAAAGACAATCACAATAATTAAACTGTATTAAGAATAAAGCAATAAAAAAAAAGAAGAAGAAAGACAATCACAATAATTAAACTGTTTACTACAGAAATAGCCAATGAAGTCCTTGAGTTTCCAATTTTGTGCCCTTCCTTAGCCTTGAAAATTCTCTACTTTAAATGGCATTGTACATCAAACAGTGGATATTCTTTAAATGGCTGTGAAAACTCAAATCCAAACCACATTTGTATTCTTATTATCATTGCTTTTTAAAGTATTTTTATTTAAAAATATATCAAAATAATATATTTTTATTTTATAAAAATTATTTTTAAAATCAGCACATCAAAATTATCTAAAAACACTAAAAAATATTATTTTAAAACAAAAAAATTAATTTTTAAAAAATATTTTTACAACATAAAAACAGACCAGGCAGCCTAATTTATTATCCAAAAAGAATAAGAAAATTGCAGGGCACAATTGCATAATTTATTATCCAATGACCACTATAAGAGGAATAAAATAGTACGGGAATGATAATTGATTACTACCACACAAAAAAACTATTGACAATGTGACATCATCACCTCAATCTCTCTCTCCCTCTCTCTCTCCTTTTAACAAATACCGGTATCAGTTCCTGTCACTCCCAGCTCAAAAACCACGCCCCACCTCGTTCTCTCTCCACGCAGCCATCGTTTCTTCACTGAAACTCGCTTCATTTTTTTTTTAATTAAAAAAACAAAAATTAATCAGTCTAATTTTCTTTTTAAATAAATATAAAAGCGACACAACTCATCAGCTAAAGAGAAATTCTATCCCATTCTCTCTACATTTCCTCATGAGAACCAGCGGTACTGGCAACCGTCGGTGAATTACAACGACGTCTTTTTTATCCACTCCGGTTTTTCAATGGCGAAGAAAGAAAAAGACGTCGTCTCACAAACCTTCCACGCCATGGTAGAAAGCGCAGACCGGAAATTTGGCCGAGTCCGTGACCTACCATTGTACGGACGCGCACAGCAGAACCACTATTTCCAGAAAGTATTCAAGGCGTATATGAGGTTATGGAAGTACCAGCAGGAGAACCGGTCAAAGCTAGTTGACTGCGGTTGGAACCGATGGGAAATTGGAGAGATCGCGAGTCGGATCGGGCAGTTGTATTTTAATCAGTATATGAGGAGTAGTGAAGCTAGGTTTTTAGTGGAAGCGTATGTGTTTTATGAGGCGATTTTGGAGCGGAAGTATTTTGATGCCCGCGGAAGTGGTAAACCGAAGGTTGATGTTGGTGTTAGGTTTAAGGAGTTGAGATTTTATGCTCGGTTTTTGCTTGTTGCTCTGATTTTCAACAAGGTTGATATGGTGAGATTGCTCGCTGAGAGGTTTAAAGGTCTTGTTGATGATAGCATGACGAATTTTCGTGTAAGTTGCCTTTTTATTTCATTTTTGCTTTGTTTTAATTTGTTTGTGTTTTTTTGGTTTTTGAAGGAGAAAATGTGTAGGCTTTGTTGATTATTGGGGAGAATTTTGGGTGGAGATATAGTCTCTTTTTTTGGATTTTTTTTGGTTCTTTTTTTTTGGTGGATTATCGTTTTCTTTTTGATAGTAAGGTATTGACTTCGAATTTTTTGATTCAAGTGTTTTTTTTTTTTTTTTGCTGGGGGGGATTTATTAATCGAGCTTGGTAAGGAAGGAATTTGTGGAATAGGAGATGCTGACGGTGATTTTCAAGAACTTGTTTGATGTTGAAAGGCAATTTTTTGGGTTAACTAGAAGTCAGTTTGTCGAATTTGTGAAAATTGGAGCTGAATTTTAGGGTTTTTTTGGGTGAAAGTCTAAGAATTTTTATTTTTTGGGGTGACAGATTGAAAATTAAGCTTATGTTTGGCTCTTAAGGAAAAGGAATTTAAAATTTCTGAAGTTATTTGATGCTTTGTTTCTCTGGAGATGGGTTTCAATCTTAGTGCAGAGAAGTTGTTGCAAAACACTGGAATTGGGTTTCTATTTCCATTTATGGAAATAAAGACCTTGGAACAGAGATTTATTTTAAATTCTGCTGCAGATAAAGCAGTAGCAATCCTAGAGAGGCTCAGTTCTTTTTGGGCCCAGGAGATAAAGGGCAGACCTAGAGGATTTTGTGTATGAATTTTCAAAGATTTCCATGCTCAACTACTTTAAACAATTTTTTTAATTAAAGTTGACACACTGCTACCGGAGCTTTTCATGGTTTAGATCTAGTAAAGTTATTATCGTGGGACCTGCCAACTGGATATGGCATCTGGTTTTATGTGATTATAGGTGTATAATTTTTTTTCTAATTGCAGCTGGTATGTGGAATCTATAAGCCTTACATGTTATTGTAAGCTCAGTTGCTGTAGCTATCTTTTTTTATAGAACAAAATACCCTTTTTGATGGAAAGGAAGCATGGCCTTTCAACTTTAGTTTGAGGTTGCTGAATTATTTTACTGTTATGAGAATTGGTGAAGGTAGTGGCAGGAGTGAAAATACGTCTTTCTGAATGTAGGGGTAAGGCATTTGCAGAACTATTTAGTCAAGTGGTGGTAACTTCAGCCGAGTTGCCTGGCTGACTACTGCTTGACTCAGATGAGTGGCTTCCAGTTCTAAAGAAAGGCTGGAAAGGGGGAAAATGAGAGAAATGAACAGAAAGAAATCAGTCTCTATTCCATTATAAATTGTGGCAGTACTGATGATGGTCTTCGTGATGTATAATTGGTTCAAAAGTTTTCTCCTGAAGCAGCGAGTTCTTACATTGAAAGACTTAGACACCTGAAGGCCAAAGCTGAAATGTGGTGGGGTGCATGGATCATTCAAAAAATTAACTCTTAAAATAAAAGACAAAAATAATCATTTAAGTTGTCTTTATAACCATGAACTTGATTTGTCCAGATTAAAAGGGTGAAGTGGGTGCATATTGGCATCCTTTATTTTTTCCTTCTCCTATTGACCATCTTGGAGCATCTTGTCCATATGGCCAAGAGACCCGACAATGCACATAATCATTGGAAGTTGGTTTAGTTGGCCTGGTTGCCTTGGTTTTTCCAATGTGACAATTGATGGATCATTGCCAAGAATGGAAGTTAAGCATTAGAATTAGCGAGGCTATGATGGGTGAGGCAATGGATGCAATTCCAGGTCATGCTTATTATATGGTAGAATGAATAATTTACACACTCTAAGTTTGACCTTTATGCGTGTCTATATGAGACATGGGCTCGGGGGCATTTCTTAAATATTTCCAAATTAATTAGAAAAAACTAAAACTTTTCTATACCATTCAGAAGTTCAAATACTGCATTTAACTTTCTGTTGATACTTGCATGAATAAAAACAAATGGATTATTTGTTCTCAGGAAACAAACTTCAAAGAATGGAAGCTAGTGGTGCAAGAAATTTTCCGCTTTATGGAAGTTGGTACTGTCTTCACAAATGTCAGGCCTTTGCGGTACTGTGCTCTGTTTGATTCCCATCCAGCTTCTCGTCCTTACTTGGCTCGTTTCCATGCGAGGAAGATTGTAAAATTTAGAGATGCGCTCTTGACAAGTTATCATAGAAAAGAAGTAAATGTTTTTTAATGTTTGTAAGACTGTTTATTGATAAGGTTGCATGGAGCTTGAACTGAGAATTTTCCCAATAAGACATTTTTTTTATAACCAACCTTGTTTGTCATTTTCAGGTTAAATTTGCAGAACTTACTTTAGACACTTACAGGATGATGCAATGTTTAGAATGGGAACCTAGTGGATCTTTCTACCAAAGGCGTCCTGTTGAATCAGTTTACCAAAAGCATCCAGTGGAATCGAATGAAAATGGCACTGTAATTGATCATTCTGGAGCTGTTTCTGGATTGATAGATATAAACTTGGCTGCAGATTTGACTGATCCAACTTTACCACCAAATCCCAGGAAAGCTGTTCTTTATCGTCCGTCGGTGACCCGTTTGCTAGCAGTTAGTTCTGAAACTCTTACATGTTGATTTTATTTATGTTACACATCTCTGTTTGTATTCACAGTTAGGCTGCTCTGCTTTCAGAGTGACGCATTATCAGGATTTCCTGGAAATCAGGCCTAATTTGAATCTTTACATTTATTTATAGAAAAATTTGTGTTTCCTTCCCTAGTGTGGAGCGCAGGTATAGTCAATGTATGTTGTGGCATAACTTTTTTCTGCAAGTTAACTTGGTATAGGGTGGTTATATTTTTCATGTAAAGAACAGTTATGTTAGTGGTAGAACGCAGCTCAATTTAGCAAAATCTTGTACAAAAACATGTAGTTTACTTGTTGAAAACCATGGTACAAGTCTACTTATGAAATAGTTTTCCCAATGGAAAGCAGTGGCTAGGGCTCATAGATAAGTTTGTGATCATTTCACATTTCTTAAGGGCATTTTTATTTTTCATTTCCTTCCTAAGGATAGAAGGCTGATTTCAGTTTGACTATCGTGCACAGGTTATGGCAACAATTTGTGAAGAGCTCCCTCCAGAGACCATTATGCTAATATATCTATCAGCCTCAGGTTGATGATCCTCCATAATGCCAGTAAAATTCAACTAATTGTATCTCATCATCCTAGGCTAATTGTCTTAATGAATCAATTGTTCAGGGAACGCTGCTCATAGTAATCTTTCTCAGGCAGGAAGCTCTGGGGGATCAAGGAAATCTTCCAAAGACAAGGTTGTCTCTGGAGTATATGGCGAAGATAAAAGCTCTGCACCTGAATCTCATTGTAACGGCAAGAGAGAGTCAAGTGACTACTACGACAATTATCTCTGGTTAGGTCCCCGGGGATATGGTGGTAGGTTGCTGCTCTTCCTAGTGTTTAGCCTCAGTTTGTTATTCCCAGTGTAATTATTCACAGCTATTCCAAATTACATTTACGACCTTCCTATATTGCTGTTCCACTCTAAGGTGTAATGCTTTTGGATTTTCAGGGTCAAATGCCCTTTACCCTGGCGATATAATTCCTTTTACTCGAAGACCTCTTTTCTTGATTATTGATAGTGACAGCAGCCATGCATTCAAGGCAGGTTTGTCATAACCTGTGTATGACTTGTCATAGAATTTGGACTTATCGTACCATTCTTCAGTTTTTAGAATTGATTTTTTCTGGCTTGTGAGTGAGGTTGCATTTAAATTTAACATGGTAGATTTTCATGTCTACAAATATTATTGAACATGATGGATTGCATATGCTTGTCCATTGATTTGTGTGTGTTTTTGGGGAAGAGACAATAAGTCGTAGATTGTTTTTTTTTTTTTAAAAAGGAGGATACATTGCAGAGGATCGTTCTTCATCAAATAGTGCATCAGTGCATGCATTGGAATAACTTGCTGTTTACGTACAGAGGCAGGGAAACATTGCACTAGCTATTGTCAAACAAACTGTTGGATTTTAATTGCACTAGAATCTTAAAGTAGATCAATATCCTATTTGAAGAGCTATCTGCATAGACAATACTACCTATTGGTATGATTTACTTGAAAATTGCCACACATTTCTATATAAGAAACTCTTTTTAAGGTGAACCAGAGTAATTGATCTACAAAACCTATGCAGTAAATTTTGTTACTTCTAATCCACACCCGGTGTGTTTGACTGGTGCACATAGTAGATGCAAAAGCTGAGGTGATATGTTCAACTGACGCATACTACACGTCCACCTGACTGAATTTTAATCCCGTAAACAATATTCTAGAGCTGATTTAATTGCTGACCTCCTTTGCTAGCGAGTTTGATGGGATTCATTATTTCATTAATCTTTAATGGATTGGGGAGGAAGCAGCTGGGTGCCTAAAGCCTCGCCTTGTTACATGTATTTAGATCTGACTCCCTTCTTCCGAGATCAAATTGTCTTGCCAGCATATTTGCGAAGGGATTTATGAGGCAAATATTCAAAACTTCTTTGCAGTTATCTGAGGGGTGCATCATACCTAGGATTCTCTTCTATTCAGTCCTACATTTTAGAGTTCTGCTTTTTATCTGTCAAGTTGCATGATTGAGAATTGTGGATCATTTTCTCAGGTCCTGCATGGTGCAGAAAGGGGAGAGCCAGCTGCCTTGCTTCTTTCACCTTTGAAACCTGCATTCAAGAACCTATCTGCTGTTGATACATCACATTGTGGAAGTCAGTTTACTTTTTTCTTGACTGCTCCTCTGCCGGCATTCTGCCAGATGGTTGGCCTCACTTCTGCTGATTCTGATATGGTAAGTTGTTGGCCTAAGTTCTTAAATTTTTATGATAATTTTCTCATTCCTATTCGCTTTCCGATGGCTAACGGGACTGCTTTTAGGATTTTTACAATGATGCTGAGGAGATACTCTCCATTGCATTCTCTGAATGGGAGGTTATTCTTTGTACATCAAAAGGCCTGGATCTGGTTTGGGCACAAGTTTTATCCGATCCATTTCTAAGGAGGCTTATTCTTAGGTATATTTACCTCTCAATAGAAGCAAATTATTAGTAAACTGGGAAATTATTCAATATTCTTTACACTATCTGTTGGTCTTCACTTGTGGCTGAAATGCTATCTTACAATAATAGGCTTTCAATGAAGATGCAGCACCCCCCCTTTTTTCAATGTTCCTTTCTATGAAACGTTAAAACTTGTTAGTAATTGTTTTTAGTCTGGATAATGTTGGATTTTAGCTAATCTACCAACATATTTTAACGGAATGTGTCTTCAGATTCATATTCTGCAGATCTGTGCTCTCTTTCTTCTGCCCTCTTGAAGATGAGCAATATCTACCCATTTGCCTGCCCCATCTTCCCAATTCTGTCTCCGCGAGATCTGAAGTTGTGCAGTCAGCTGTATTTCGGCTTGCAAATCACCTGAAGGTTGCAGATTGTTTTCAATTTGATGACACATAAGGAAGATAAAACTATAAAAATGCAGGTTTCTGGCTCTCGAGTTCCATTAACTTTATGTGGTAAATAACTCTTCGGTTGGTTTAAGGGCACTTCAAAGGAGGAGTATTATAATTTGGTGATACAGCTTAAGCTGGTGGTCAAGAAGAGTTATTGGCTGAGCATGGTTGCTTCTGCTGACGTGCGAACTTGTTAATTCTTTGGTCAGCATGTTGTGGTTTGCTGTTCTAGGTGGTACTTGATGATTTGCAGTTTTGTATGAATATAGCTGCTTGGTTGTCTAGGTGTTATCAGTGTATAATCTAATTGGTTTTACACCTTTAGAGTTGTTTTCAAGCTAGTGCTAAAGTTTTGTACCTTTGTAAAAGAAAATCAGGTTAGTCAAATGGGATATATGTTTTCATTTCTTTTTTTAAGAAAGAAAAGTTATAGTGGCAATGGATTCATGCATTATTGTTGAAGCTGTGGGAGAGGCATATATGTAAATGGGTCCTGAAATTGAAATTTCTGGATCCTTTCAGCTGTACAATTTACAAATTTGAGTTGAATATATATATATATGAAAATAAAAAAGATGTTTGGGTGAGGCCTAAACAATCCTGATTGTCCTGATACGGGTCCAGGGGGTAGGCCTTCTAGTTGTCCTAGCAGTGACCAATAAACCTTGTTATTTTTATGTTTTAAAAATAATTTAATTTTTTTATTTTAAATTAATATTTTTTTAATGTATTTATATTAAAAATAATTTTTAAAAATAAAAAATATTATTTTAATACATTTCTTAATAAAAAATACTTTAAAAAACAATTACAACTATACTCTTAAACAAACTTTAAATTTCTCTTTTCTCTATATATTTTTACTTCTTTTTTATAATTTTTTTCTAATTTATTTTTATCACTAATAATTATCCTGTGATTCCTATGAAAAAAAATACGTTGAGAAGAGGATTTGGATAGGTGGATTACTAGATCGTTCACATGTGTCTTATTATATCCAATGAATGGTCATCCTTTATATCCAATGAAGCATCTACTAAAGTCGTCTAATAGGTTCGACCCCTCCACCATGTGGTGAACTACTCTAATGTGCGCACCTTTCTTACAGTCGAGCTACTCTACCGACCACATCTCCTATATGGTGAGCTACCTCGATGACCTCCTCTCTTGTATGGTGAGCCACGATGCTTACAAGAAAGGGAGGAAGGGAATAAGAAAGACAAAAACAACTTTAATATGGCATATAAAAAATTCTCTCATTCACCTTTGACTCCGATACAATTATCAGGAACTTTTTATGAAGGGTCATTTAGACGTGATCTTCACGTATTTTAAGACTTTGCCTAGCGGTGGAAGAGCTTATTTTTTTTATTGTATCTGGATTCAAACCCTAGCGTGTATGTTTGTCATCCTGCGATATTTTATATACCTATTGGGTTTATAAGGTATTCAGTGGACCGTGAAAATTAATCGTGATACGCACAAACTGGCCCGAACACTCCACATAAAAAAAAAGCCAAGGCCACAAGCCATGACCTTTGCTAACGACCCTGTTCTCCGTCGGAATCTCATTCCAGTATTCCATAACCAAAAAAGCCATGCAGGGACAAGGACAAGAATGTTGCACGCTAGATAAAAGATTCTCTTTTCATGTATAGTTTTCCCAAAGATTTTGTAGTCCTCAAGATGAGCCTGAAAAAATAAGATGATTTATCTTACATAAGAAGCACATTAAAAATGTTAAAAACAATCTTAGATTGGTGATTAAATGCACCAATGCCACGGGCAAGGTATTCCCCTCCAAGTTTCGTGTTTATTCGAGCCTCGTACCATATTTAAATACGGTTTCATATTTAGCTTTATTGACTTATCATATAAATTAATTGTTCGTTTTCGCATCGATATACCAGTAAAAGAACACTTCACAAAACTTATTTTAAAAACTATTTTTATTTTATTTTTATCAATGTCAAATTTGACATTGATTTGATTTGAAATTGAAATTCATTTTTTTTATTTTTTAGGATTATTTTATTTTTAAAATTTTTATTATATGTTTAGGGTATTAATTCAAATTAATTTAATATTATTTTTTAATTTTTTAAAATTAAATATTTTTTTATTTCCAATAATTTAATATTTTGTTGCTTGCCATTTTATTCTTTCATGTTAACTTGTCAATTGCCAAGAATCTTTTTAAAATATTGTCAAGAGTTCTTTTTATGCATGCTTTCGTTATCATTTTGTTTTATTTAATTGATTTATCATGGTTGTTTTTTATTTTATTATATAATTAAATAAAGGTTGCATATTGAGCTACTTTATAATATAATTTGAGTCACAATTTTTTTTAATTTTTTTAAAATATATTAATCCGGCTTTTGTATACCGAGGGCCAATAGTCTAATAATAACAACCTGAATGGACATCTGACAAAAGACATGATACATAGTTTTTAATGAGAGCGTTATCAATATATAGTTTTTTTTTTTATAAATAAATATCCCTCGTGTGGATTATACAAAGCATAGAGTACGCGATTTTGAGAAATTACACATAATAAAGTCCTTAATTGCAATTTCCTAAATCTGAATGTACATCTGACCAAAGACACGATACGTGTTACATTGTACCAACCACACATTGAACTTCCTAGCTACAAGAAAAGTACGGGCCTCTTCCTTCAGCCAATAAGATTCGAGAATTAAGCCTCAACGATCCGCGTCATTATTCTAAAACCACATCCTAGCCGGTCACATCAAGTAGAGAAAACACAACTTAACATTGTTTGAACCGTTCGATTATAAAGAGAGAAAGCACAAAGATACCCAATCGTACCCATCCGATTCCTACTCTAAATCTCTATAAATATAACTCGACTTCTTCTTTAACCAACCTTTACACAAATTTCCGAGTTTTAGAGAGAGGGTTCTTGAAGAGATTCCAAGGTGCGTTTTGTTGACTTCCTTCTTCTGCTGTTCTTAATTAGGTTTTCTAATTAAATTTCTTGATTGGTCATAAGGGTTTAGTGGTGTTTGTAATTGAAAACTGTTTTGAGGTATTTTGGGATATTCAGGGTTTGAATTTGTGGGTTCCTGAATCTGTTTCTGAAATTGATGGATCTTGTTCGAAATTTAGGGTTTCTTTGCCAGTTTAGTTTCAATTAATTGTTATTCTATAATTGATTTGATTTGATATAATTACGATTATTGATTTTAACTTTTTGAGTAGTTGGTTTGAGATTCAGGGCTGTATTGGCATTTTAGTTCTCATGATGTGCTTTTTTCCGTCTTTAGTTGTTAAGATCTGTTGAAAAGCGTAATGTTTGGTTGCTGAGAAAATGCTAGGAAAGCGAATTTAGTTCTTGACCAAACGGATAAGCCCTTTACAAGACTGTCTTTAGATCTTGAATTGTTTTCTTGAAGATCAAAAGTGAGGCCTGAAGGTGCATGAAGTTGTGTTAATGACTGTTAACATGTTAATCTATTTTATTGATCAAACAGATAAGCGCTTTAGTCTTAGATTTTCAACTGTTTTCTTGGAGACCAAAAGGGAGACTTGTGTTCATGAATATTAAAATGTTTTATTTACTTTGGCCTTCCTGATTCAATGATTGTTTCTGATTATTTGTTTCGTGTGTGTGTACAGATGGCCCGTACCAAGCAAACTGCTCGTAAATCTACAGGAGGAAAGGCCCCAAGGAAGCAGCTGGCTACTAAGGTATTATCTCTCTTTTATCCAATAAGATTCAATGATTTGCCTTTTGGCCATCTTAATTTTCTTTAAATTGTTATAATCTTTTGATTGATAAATCTTGATATGATTATAGGCTGCCCGTAAGTCTGCCCCAACCACTGGTGGAGTGAAGAAGCCTCACCGATACCGCCCTGGAACTGTTGCTCTTCGGTTAGTCAAGGGTCCTAACTAATGGATTTCTTGTTACTGATAATTTCCTAGTCTTATATGTTAATGCATGAATGCAGTGAAATCCGTAAATATCAGAAGAGTACGGAGCTCTTGATCAGGAAACTCCCATTCCAGAGGCTTGTTCGTGAAATTGCCCAGGACTTCAAGGTATATTTTATATAATTATTTCATTGGTTTTTTTTTTATGAGTGAAATTGGTGTTTTGATGCTAATGATTACATTTGTGATGTGCAGACTGATCTGCGTTTCCAGAGCCATGCTGTGCTGGCGCTGCAAGAGGCAGCCGAGGCATACCTTGTGGGTTTGTTCGAAGACACTAACCTTTGTGCCATCCATGCCAAGCGTGTCACTATAATGCCCAAGGATATCCAGCTGGCTAGGAGGATCAGGGGCGAGCGTGCCTAAGTGACATGTTGAAATGGGAGACAAGTGGGCTTTTGATCAGCAGAAGCCAAGTTGTTTAGGTAGTAGATAGATAGGTTCGTGGGTTGTAGTGTTAGGCTGTGTGATGTTGGGTTAATAGAAGGTGGTGTCCTTAATCTTGTCTTCTGGGGATGTGAACCTCTTGGTATATTTTCTTTTGTTAAAAACTGTGTTGAATGTCTTCTTTTCTTGTGACTGGTGCCACAGCGAAGTGGTACTTGAACACATGCGCTATTATTTTGGATCTAATTTTTAGTTTGTTAAATTCTTGTCCATACCATCTCCATTTTTAGTTATGGTGGTCTGTGAGATGCCAGAACAAAACTACTTTCGTTTATAGTTTGGTCAAAAGAATTTACAACGGTTGTGCACGCGATGTCAAAATTGGTGGGCGGGTGGTTGATTTGACCGAAGCTCTTTCCTTCTTGGAAGGCGGTCTCTGGTTTCTCTGGTCATCTGGCTTTTTGTATTTCGTGCTTCTGTAGCCTTCAGATTGAGAGCGTCGAGAGTTCTGTTTTGATTCTGCGTGCTTTGAAACTTGCAAGTCTGCTCTTAGGGGATGATGTCTTTTGAAAAATTGACGTGGTTTGGTAAATTTTATGGAAGAATGATGTAGGTTTGTTTTAACATAATCCTATTGATTATATACAATATCAATAATTAGTATTCTCTCGTGATTAAAAGAAAAGATTTAGTAACCACAATATTCTCTCGTTATTAAATGATAAGATTTAAGTTTTAGGCATTTTTGATTTTGCATTTAAAAATATTTTTTAAAAAAGTTATTTCTTTTTATTTTTTAAATTAATATATTTTTAGTATTTTTAGATTATTTTAATATAATGATATCAAAAATAATTTTTTTAAAATAAAAAATATTATTTTAATATATTTATAAGTATAAAATATTAAAAAAACAATTATAATTATATTCTCAAATAAGCTGATCAATTTGAAAAATAAGAAAAAAAAAATAGATTATCAAGGTTTTTTTTTTTTTTGTTAACATATTAAGTATTGTTAACATGATTTTGATAAAATAATTTTAATTATATCTTAAAATAAAATGAGATTGCAATTAATTTTAAATTAACTTCAAATAAAATTTTTAATAAGTTAAGATTATAGTTGATGACTTTTTAAATTTTATAGTGATTGAAATTATCACGTTGAAATCTTTTTAATATTATTGAGTAAGTTAAAAACAGAGTTTCTGTGCATTCCTAGTAATTTATTTATTTTTGGTTATTAAATTTTAAATTTTATTTATTTCTTAACTATTAAGTCTTTATAAAAATTTAAATTAACTTTAATAGCAGTTATTTCTTGACTAGTGGATTTTTATAAAAATTTAAATTGATTTTTATAACGGTTAATTAATTTAGCTTAGAAATAACTTTTAAAACAACTCAATAATAGTTATGTTAAAACTTTATTACTTTTTAAATATTTTTTTAACAAGTGTTATTTTCTCAACATTTTTATTATACCGTTTTAGAATTACAAAGTAACCACTTTTAGGACCCTACTTTTCTGTTAATTTAGTAGATGCTTCCTCTCTCCATTCAAAATCTGTTGTTAAAAGTAATTCCTGTGTACTGTGATCTCTCTAGCTTCCTTTAATTTTTGTTGTTAACCTTGGTAATAATTTTTTGAGAGCAGACCCTGGCGAAAGCCAAATCACCTCTGATTTGCGAGTAAATGATTTTTTTGGATATTGATAGTGTAATAATAATTATTTTTTTAAAATATTATTTTATTTAATAATATATTAAAATAATATTGAATGCATCGGTTAAGCCAAAGTTGTACAATAACAGATACAATGTTCCTTTAACTGTCGGGCAATCCAAATATAACAAAACTACTTTAAAACATAAGCGGTATAAATATAAATAATATGAAGACTTAAAATAAAATAAAAATAAAAATTTATGAAAATATTTATTTAACTTCTATATAATTTAAATTTAACATAAATAATTGATTAAACCAAAACAAATAATAGGATATATATTTTTATAACTTGATGTAAATCTAACTCATTTCAGAGTTCTAAACAATAAAATCAAAACACATATCAAACTTTTAATCTATTGGGAATTGAATTTCATAGTTTTTCTAGATATAGTGCTTTTAGTCTAATACCCTGAGTCATAAATTTGAAAAATCAATGTGTATTGACATCATTTTTTTTATTTGTTTTCTTTTTAGCTTTGTGAATTTTTATATTTTTTTATACGGGATTATTCAAATCTCATGACTTGAGTTACGAGTTTAACAGGTTAACTCGAGTTAGCTTGCTCTTTATTCCTAGAGATACAGGTTTGTTATTCTAACTCGGATTTAATTGAGCTTTTTTTTAAAGCAATTTCATCCCTTAATATTTAATAAACTAAAAATTGAACTACATTGTTTGTCCCCTTTTACAAAACTATTTGTTTACAAGTTATTGTTATTTTTTTAATTTGGTCCATCTGTTATCATTATGTACTTTTCATCATCTGATTAAAAATAAAACTAAATTCTTTGATTGACTCAATTTATGACTCAAATTATAAATTTTATTCCTTCTTTAAAATATTTTTGCATTGTATGAACGTCGTTTTTAAAGCAAAAACAAACTTTGTAGCGTAGCACAAATACACTAATATAACCTTATCTCACATAAACTATTTCCAACATAGAATTTATGAAGTGTAAACCCCTATAGTAGAATCTTATAATGTTAATTGAAAATAAAATAGATGTAAACCACGGTGTAAATATAGGATTGAAGGTAGTAGGACTTTGATGAGTAATGGAAAGCTTGAAATGAAAATAAATGAGAAGGCAATTAAAATGAAAATGAATATGAATATGATGTGTAATGGATGTGACAACCTCCATAAATAAGTTTAGAGGTTGATGAAGTTAAAATAATGATTATGAATTTTAATTTAAAGTTCATAACAACGACTAAATTAGTAACATGTTTTGATGGATAAAAAAATTAGAAAAATAAGAAAATAATCCTAAGAAATTAATATGGTAGTAAGGAGTAAACAATAAAAAATTTTGGTATAAAAGAAAATAAAAGAGTGTTGTTGTAAATATCGGTTAAAAATCGGTAATGTTACCATGAAACGATAAAAAGTTCATAAATAAAATAAATGGTAAAAAAATAAATATTTTGAGAATAAAAAAATGATCTCAAAGATTTAGATGAATGATTGATATGATCTATGATGGAATAAAATAAGAAAATTTAGATTTTTGATAAAAAAACATAAACCAACAAACTTTATGTTATCATGTATAAATATTAATCCGACTATTGGATCAAACTAAAATATTACATAGAAACTTCTAACATGTTGAGTTATCTAAATTTAAAATTTTAGTTGAATCAAATCTCGGGAAGGCCTTACAATTTATGTTAAAAAAGCAGGTAAAAAGCATAAATAATACAAATGATATAACTAAGGGCAAAATGGTCAAAACAGGGGAAAAATCAGCCATTATATAAGCTGTTCCATCTAACCATGGAAAGAAAAAAGAAGGAAGATGAGACTTTGATTTCTTTTATCAAAATTAAGAGAAAAACACTAAAAAAAAAGCCTAGATTAATTGATCCGAGATGAGTTTTGAAGGATTATAACAAGAAATTTCAAGGCTTTGTTGAGTCTGCAAGCTTGGGAAAGGAGGGTTTTGAGAGTAAAAGGAAAAAGTGAAGAGTAAAGTAGAAAATTTGATTTCTTTGTCAATTTCTTCTTGAATTCTTGTGATAAGAGGTGAGAATCACTTCCACCATAATTGATTATAATTTTGACATGATTTAAAGCTTGGTTAGTATTGGTTATATTATGAAATCTTGGGTTTTAAGGGATGGTGTTGTTTGTAAGGGTAGAATTGTATTCTTGAAAGTGAAAAACTAATAGGTAATGTGTTAATTGTTAGAAATTTAAAGAAAATATGCATGCTTTTTCTTTAATGGGGTTCAACCAACACTAACTTAATGAATTTGACATTGTTGATTTAAATTGGTATGAAACTTGTGATAAATTTTGTTAATTGAAATGTTTAATCAATACGTAAGAAGTTAATTGGTATGAAATTTAGAAGAAACATCCATGAGTGAGAAATTCCATCTTGGCCAAAACTTTTAGTAAAGAAAGTATGGTAATTTGTTTGATATGGTTAGTTGAAATTATGTTTTTAATAAAATGAATGTGTGAAAATGTATTTATCTATGAAAAATATGTTGTTTAGCTTTGATTTTGGTGGAAGAAATTGTAAAACATCCAAAGATGATATGTATGCAAATTTCAGCTTAGGTTTGAACTTGTGAGGTTTAAATGTGGTTGATTAATTGATGTGTTTAAAGAGTTATTTTAGCTTAAATTGTAATATTATTGCATATATATTGGATGGAACATGAAGAAAAAAATTTAAAGATGAAAACACCAAAGAAAATTTTTTTGGACTGAGAGTAATGATTAAAAAAAAGAGATAATAGTGACTTAAAACATGTTAATAAATAAAAAAAGATGTGACTTTATTGTTGATATTATTCTATATACATGTTATGGATGAGTTAGGTTCAAGCTTGAATTGAGATTTCTTAAACGGGGACTTTAAATGATAGTTTCAAGAATATGTTTGAATTATGTTTAATGCTAAATTTAAGTTTTTATAATGATTGAAATTCTAGAAAATATGGATATATATTAAACCTTGTAAATTTACCTTACTGCTAATTCAAAACGCGTGTTAAAAAGGGAGACAAAATATGGCTCCTAATTTGGTTTAATATCTTATAATGGTTTGAAAAACTCTATTGATAAAGGGATATTGCTGGAGTCGGAAAGTTGGTAGAAGTGACAAGATGTTTTTAAACCTTAAGGAGGTGCCTAACACCTGTACTAAATAGGTAGTAAAATTTTATAATTTCTAGTTTAATTTTTAAGAATTTTGATTTATGTAACAAGAAAGTCAAAGAAAAGAAAAGGAAGAAGGGATGAAAATGATCTGATTAGCTATCCATGCGATGGAAGCTAATGATGTCAACTAGACTGGTATTGATATTAATCCGATAAAAAAAGAAAAATAAACTTGATTAGGTATTTAAGTGATGGAAACTAATGATATCAATAAGGTAATATTGATATCAGTATTAAGTTGAATTTGATTAACTATCTAAGTTATGAAGGTTGATGATGTCAATGGAGTAAAATTGATATCAACATTGACTTGAACTTGATTAGTTAACCAGGTGATGGAAGCTAATGATATTAACGAGAATAATATCAATATTGAATTTGATTAGTTGTACTAGTTAAAGAAAACTAATGATACCGAGTTGGTTATCTTAGTATTGATATTATCTTGAATTTGATTAACCATTCTAGGTGATTAAGACTAATGATACTAATGTGAAGACTTTAATGTTGATATAGCAAAGCTAATGATACCAAAGTGGTTACCTTGGCATCGGTATTATTTTAAATTTGATTAGCTATTTTAGATAATGAAGATTAATGATACCAATATGAAAGCTTTGATGTTGACATTTCTTATAAAAAATATTATCAAGTTGGACTTGATTAATCATTTCAGTAGATGAAGACTAATGGTATCAATATAGTAATATTGATATCAATATTGACTTATAAGAAATGCATTGGTTAAACTTGATTAGTTGCCTAAAGCATTGAAGGATAATGATAATAAAGTATTTGGTATTATTATCTTCTAAATTAATCAATCATGAGATTGTGACTAGTGATATTAAGTGGAAATGATATCAACATTAATTTAGTTTGACCTAGAACAAGGGTAACTATAGATATTAGGGTGTTTGATCTTAATAATAACATGTATATTAAAAGAAAAATAGAAAATAAAAGTAGGAGATTATAAAATATAAATTGATAATCTTGAATTTATAAATGAGATTACTTTTACTTTAATTATTATAATGAATGTGATTAAATTATGTAATTGGATTATAATATTGTTTATTGTGTCTTAAGATTTATCTTATACTCACTAGGAGTAGTATTATTTAAAATATTTTTATTTTTTTATGTTGATTAAGTATAAATATACATTCTAAATAAAATTATTGCTAAATATATAATAGGAATGCTTGACCTTGCATATAAAAGTTTATATACTTGCATATTATATTAGTCTTGTATATTTGAATTGATGCATGCTTAGATGTACTCTAATTCTGTCCTAATTTCTTTACTTAAATATTGTATTACAGGGTTGTTTTATATTATGAATGAAAGTCAAAGTTTTTAGGAAGTGATACAATTATTTGGGCATGAGAGGTGATCTAGAATGATTGAATTACAAGTTAAAAATTGCTTTATAAATTTACATGTGAATGTCAATAACATCAAAATTTTTAAATATAAAGAAAGTTCTGATAAAATTTTATTATAAATCTAGGTAAAGTATATAAAATTTTTAAAGATTTAACATTCATGTTTAAAATAGCACATGTTAAAAGAAAAATTTTCTCAGTTTTCTAAATGTTTATGATTTTTAAAATGTTTTAGAAATTAAAGATGATACATGAATATTTTAATTTTTAAAAATCTTAAGTTTTGACCCATCTTGTTATGCTAGCTGAAATTAATTATAAGCAATAATAATAAATAAATAAGAATAGTAAAATATAATAAATAAATAAAAACATGGCAAAATATAATGATATCTTACCATTAAAACCATTAAAGAGAACAACATAAAATACAAAAATACACATTATTCTCCTCCTTTTTTCCCCAATAAAAGGTATTTATATGCCTCACATTAATTAATTGAGATTAAATAATTTATATGAATAATTTTAAAAATAAACTTTAAATATTCTTACACCTTCCACGTATCTAGATAAACAATTTTAAATATACAAACATTGTAAACTTAGAAAAGTCAAAACAAATAACAAAGCTACATAACCGGTCTCCCACCTTAGAATATTTAAAATAAACTTTAAATATAACATTCTACCGTTAGAGCCGTTAATTTGTCTTGCTAGAAAACCCGCCAACCTCGGATTTTTCTTACATATCTAACCAAACCAAACCCACTCTCTCTCCCCCCATGAATTTCTCAAAGACTAATATTGATCTTGAGATCCTGGTCTTCATTTTTCCAAATTTGGAAGATATTACTCGATAACTAACAAGAAACCATTCCATAATGCTGTCTTCCAAGCAGAACCTATGCATTACATGATTGTTGTCTGGGTAGTTTGTTGCCTCCCTTGCTCTTTAATTCCATGCATTAGTTTTCTCTCTTTACATATGTGCAATTATCTTTTCATGTTTTATAAAATTCTTGGCTTGAATGGTTCTTTTGTTCTATTTCTTCCTCTCTTTCCTTCTTGTAGCTTCTTGTATATAATTCTGTTCTTTCATGTACCTGGTGGTGTGGTTAAGAATTGAGTCCTCAGAGATTTCATAAAATTAAGAACCTTTTTTTGCTTGTGTAATCTAAGCCCTTATCTGCATCAAAACTTAGCAAAGGGAACGACCAAACATCACAGATCAATCCAAAATCCACCAGTCTCTCCAACAACAGCCTCGAGGATCTAATTTGAGGTAACGATCCTGTTTTCTTCAGCTTTTGTTGTTATTCAAGGTTCATATACCTCTAGGGTTGAATTTGGATTCTTCTTTGACAGTACATGAATGTCTAAAATGGGGCAATTAGAGTTTTGTGGCTAAAATTTAACAATTCTGATAGAAAGCAAGATTTGTAGGATATTATTTGATTGATTATAGTTTTAGCACCTTTCAGGAATTTATTTAAAGTAGGTTTTATTAGAAAACTTGATTGCTGAGTTTCGAGTTTTATTCCTTGGACTTCTTCCTTTTTCTGTATTCCCTTGCAATTTCTTTGTTTTACATCTCATTCTCCTTTCCAATTACCATGCAATGGTTCAGAATTTGAGACCATGTGGTTCACATCATAATCATGTGATGTTGTTCTTTGTTGTAGCTAGAAACCAGTCCCAAGAGTTGCAAATTAAGATGCAGCAAGATAAGGGTAAAGTTGAAGAGGAGCTGAGGAATATGAAGGAGATATTGACTGGCGAAAGAGATAGAGCGCGTGATGAGCTTAAAGAGATAAAAATGGTGGCCGATGAGTCAAATGCCATGTTAGAAGAAGCAATGTCTAATGGGAAGACTGCTGATGTATTTACGGAACTCAACTCAGTAATGGAATCATTGTCAAAATCAAAGCAAGAGTTGAAGATCAAAGAAAAGACTATCACATCTTTGAAAGTTGAAGTTGGAAAGCTACGAGAGGTGGAGGCCAAATTGCTAGAGAACGATAACTCATTGGAAAATCTGAAAAAGGAGTTGAATAAAGTTAAATCAACTGAGGCACATACTTTAGGTTTATTATCCCAGAGTAAGAAAAGAATTCAAGAACTTGAGGCTGAGGTACAGAGAGGGAAAGAATCAGAAATGAAATTGTTAAATTCATATGCCGCTCAAACAAAGCAGCTTGAACAGACCAAGTTATTGCTTGAAAAGTCGAAGCTTGAGATTACCTCCCTTCACAAGAGGGTAGAGAAATGGGAGAAACATGATGGGGATAAGATTTCATTGCAAAGAGAATTAGAAAGTCTCAGGTCTGAACTTCAGTTGGCAAGACAGAACAGAACTCATGCTCAGGAGAAACATTCAGCATCAAAAACCAAGAATCGACTTGAGGAGACGGAGTTGCTTAAACATGAATTGAAGCTAGCAATTGTGGCAGAAGAGAATAGCAAGAAGGCAATGGATGACTTGGTATTAGCCCTATCTGAAGTTGCAACAGAGGCCAGCCAAACAAGGGAAAAGCTCATGTTAACCCAGAAAGAGCTGGAGCACTTCAAAACGGAGGCAGAAAACTTTCGGGAGAATTTAAATAGCATTGAGAACAAGTATAGGAATCTTTTGAATGTAGCAACCAAAGAAGCTGATCGATATAGAAAAACAACTGAGAGGTTGCGAATAGAGGCTGATGAATCACTTCTGGCATGGAATGCAAAAGAGACTGGCTTTGTGGATTGCATCAAGAGAGCCGAAGACGAAAAGTCCTGTGCATTGGAAGAGAACAGTAAACTTCATGAATTGCTTAGAACAGCCGAAAACATGAACAGGATATCTAAGCAAGAAACTCAGAAGGTGCGCGATATACTTAAACAGGCCCTGAATGAAGCTAATGTTGCGAAAGAAGCTGCAGGAATTGCCAGGGCTGAGAATTCCCAACTCAAAGATGTCTTAGATGAAAAAGACAATGCCTTGGTTTTCATTACTCAGGAGAACGAGAACCTTATGATTAATGAAGCTGCAGCTCTCGAACAAATCAAAGAGTTGAAGCAACTTCTCTCTGAAGCATCAGAAAGGGAATTTAATGTGGAATATAAGGAAAACCAACATAAGCAAAAGTCAGAGAGTGCACAGGAGAAGCAGCACAAAGATGGCAAGAAACCTAGCCATTCATGCAGTTGCCATCAGCTAATAACTCCCCATAAACACAAGGATGCAGATGAGAACAGCAGAACTCCTGATAAACAAAACAATAATAATGAGGATGAGGGCTCTGAAAATTCTGATCCACTTAGGGGATCAATATTTGATGATCAAGAAGAAGAATTATCAACAGCAAAACCAGAGGACCACGATCATCTAGATGAGCCGGAGAACGAAAGAAACTCTACGAGAAAACGACCATATTTACGAAGATTTGGTGATATTCTACTGAGGAGAGGAGGTTCTAACAGAAGGGGACAAGCAGTTGGTGGTGAGGGTCACAGAAAAGAACAGTCATTATAGGTGAATAGTCATATCTACTTGATTTCTGCATGCTTTTAAGTTTGCTTCAGAAGTATAGATGGTTTTTCTTCCTTTCACAAGGCAAAAGGTTCACCTGAGTTCACATTGTGAATGTGTTTCTCATTATCTGCTTTCATTACTTTGTTACATAAAAAACAGAATACTAAATTAGAGAAGCATCTAACCTAAAAAGCAAGATGATCACTTCCTTGTATGTTTATTTAATAATACAATGTGAGGCATATACTGCTTAATTCTCTTGCTTCCATCGCCTTCTAATTGAGCAAATTATATACAAATGGGGATGCCGAGACAACATTTTTTTTATAAAAAAAGCTTCTGCTATTCTTTTCCTCCTCAACATTAAACTGTTTATATACCTGATAAAAAAAAGCCCTTTCTTTCTTTCGAGTTTCTTACTAATTCAAATTTTAATATGTTCTTGAGAACAAGTTAAAGACAGGTTAGCAAATTGGTCAGAATATACATAGAGTTAGTGTTGTGATATGTGGAAACAACGGTCCACCGATCATGTTGAATGGGTGCGCAAGTAACGAGAGGTACTGGAGGAAGAGGAAGTAGCACTAGCAAGATGCAAGTTTGGTGAACATGAGTGTTCATAAGTCCGAAAAATATAGTTTTATGAGTTGTGAGGCTGAGGGAGTGGGAGAGTTTTGAGAGAGATTTCATATTAGATTTGGGTTTAAGAAACTGTGTTTTTTTTTTTAACTATATTTAAAATGATGTTTTATAAAAATTTAATATATATTTTTTAATTTTTGAATCAAAATATGTTGATAAAAAATAATTTTATTAAAAATAAAAAATATTTTAAAAACTATGATCACACTTCTAAACACACTTAATTTAATCTTTCTAGTGCATCCTAAAAACCAGATATGCACATTGGCACTCTCACAACATCCATGTCTATCCTTGCTCATGCCAAACCTTGAACCATGCCAAAGCTCATCAGTAATCATCAATTCATTTGGTGTGTGGTTTGGGCTCATAAAAAAAAATGGATTAACACATAATAAAATCATCTAAATTATTTAATTAATTTTGGAGACATTGAACATAAACACTGGAGGAACGAAACATTAAAAAAAACTCCTAATTTTTTTTAACAAAGGTTGAGTCTCATTTATTCTAAAATAAAAACTCTCCTGAATAAATAAATTAATAGATGTTAATTCTTAAACAAACTAAATAATTAAAATTAAAATTAAAAAAGTTATTTAAAAAATCATAAAAAATACCTTAAATAAACATGAATTAACTTGACTAACTTATGATTTGAAATATAAAATTATGATAACCTTATAAAAAATTAGAAAAAAACATGAAGCTAAAGGCCTAAAAATCTATTATTAAATAATGAAATTAAATAAAAAATTAATTAAAAACAAAACTTAAAATAAATGAAAATCAAATTTGACTAAGCTTCAAAACCTATGATTCTGGTTTTGAGACTAAGATTACCTCATAGAAAGCAAACATAAAAAATCATGAAATAAAATTTCTAATCATTCAAAATTAAAATATAAAACAAATAACATTAAAAAAAGAAACAAATTTAGTGTAAAAATTAAATGAAAGAAAATAACAAAAGACTAAATTGAAAAATAAAATAAATCAAGAAAATGATAAAAAACAAGAAAATTAAAATTAAAAAAATAAGGACCAAATTGGATGCAAAAATAAAATGAAATAAAATATTGATTGAAAAAAATTAAAAAAAATAAAGAAAAGAATAAAATAAAATAGCATTAAAAAGAATAAAGACCAAATTGAATATAAAAATTAAATGAAATAAAATCCCAAGGAACAAAATTAAAAAAAAACTTCAAAAAACATTGAAAAAAATAACAATTAAAAGAATAAATATTAAAATTGATACAAATACAAACTAACAGGGTACATTTAATTTTTAAAAGGGTTGGCGTGAAATTCAAGAGGAAAAAAAATTCACCAAAACCCAACCATTGTTTTACTATGCACACACACCTGACCACTAGAAAAATAATGATTTGGTGCTTCCAACATTGTCGTAAAAGGTGGTGTTTAATTGTTAGGAGGCTTCGCACACATCATTCATAAATTTGATGTTTTATAGGTTTCCACTAGCCATTTATAATTTTTTTTAAGTATCAGTCTCTTTTTCATAAGTTTCCTTTAACCTTTTAATTATAAAGTCTTTTATATCTCACCTTACCTTCCTAATGATTTTTTTAATTGTAGATTTCTTCATGATTCTATTCTACATATTTAAAAACTTCTTTAGACATGATGCAAGCCTTTACACATAAGCTCTCTAATATATTACTCGAGGTTTTCAACTTCTTGTCATATGAAGAAAGTAAGATGAACTTGTTATGGTAACTAAATATTTTTACAAGTTTTTATGAATTAATATCATAAAAACTTGAAGGGCTATTGATGAATCTAAATTTAACAAGCTTAAAAAAACCCCCTAAAAAACCTAAAATACCCCAAAAAAATTCAAAAACATCTTTATAGAGTCGAGTTATCAAAGTTTATGCCTATACTATGTATCCTTCATTGCTCGAATATAGAAGCATGAGCCCACCATTTGACCGTATTACCCAACACCTATGGTGCTAAGAGTTACACATTTAGCCTTGTTATGTATGTATCCCTGCACCTTTACATTTCCGTGGGCTTGGGTTACAATGTTTGAGCCCAACGTGCTTCGATCTAAATAGTGTATTTAAATCCATTTTTTACTTTTATTGGACTTGAGCACCTTACCTGAGCTTAACACTTTATTAGGAATTTTTTTCAAGACTCTATGCGAGTTTCTTAGTATTTTATATTGATCTAATATGTATTATTTTGAATGTAATAGACCTTAAAATATCACAATGGTGAAATAACATTTCAACCCCTTCTCTTTACAAAATAACAAAACTCATAGACTATAAACATACCATGAATTCTTCAAATTCAAGGTTCATAATATCTTCATTTTTAATATTTTCAGCATATATATTTTCAGAGTCTATCTTTTTAAATATTATTATGCTTTTTCTTTCAATAAAACTACTAATTTTACTATTAAAGAGTCATTATATCTATCAAATAAAAATCTTTTACAGGTATCAATCATCCTGGTTTATAAGGCATCACCTATTATTATCATAACTATTCATTATCATGTTTTACGAGACATTATCTGCTATTAATATAACTACTGGCTACCTTAACATACCAAACATGACGTGCTATTTCCAATTACTAGCCATCATACATCTTAATCTTAATGAGGGAGAAATAATAAGGTTGCTTCAACAACGTATCAATCTTATTTCTAAAGATATTAAATTAGATTGTGTGACTCACGCATAGTATATGTTCTTAAAATAATAACAGAAATAAACAAATTTATTATGTGAGTCAACGTCTCCGACCACTTGACCAATACAGGTTAAAAAACACTGGTCCACACGTTTTAATTAAATACCTGAAATGTAAAAAAAACAAACAAGAAGAAGGGAGAACGTGATTCTTATGCTATCAAAATTTATCCAATAGATTAAGATTTAAGACGGATAACGTGGCACATTTACAACATGTCTCCGTGTTTACACTCCCAATATATGAAAGCATAACCCATCACACTAGAACACCACCCTTCCATCGCTCCTCTTTTCCTTCATTTCTGGGGTTCCTCCTTCTCAGACAACCTTCAACCTTAGTGTTTTTCGAAAAGAGAAAAAAAAAAAAAAAACTCCCAGATAATCAATACTAGTCGCAAAAGTGAAGGTTGGAACTTTAATAAATAAATAAGAAAGTAACCATGTCATCTGCGGTGGAGGCAAGCTCTCAAGAGAACCGTGAGGAGAGCAGCAACGAACGGCTAGATTTGATTCACCATCTAGATCCAACTGCCACAGATATGTTAATTCCTAATGAAATTCTTCTCAAAGCTGCCATTTCTCTCAAGGATCAGGTATGCATTTATTTATTTTTTCTTAATACAGGACCTCTTTCTTTGAGTTCATTATGTGTTATGACTTAAGCAAAATAAAATAAATAAATAAGCCTTCCATCGTCTTGTCCTTAAGAGTTTTAGGCCGGCGAGCTAGTCTGAGAAAAATTGTTTGTCTTCATCGTATATAGGTGGTGGCGGCGACGTGGAAAAGAGATAGCAATATGGGTGCGGGTATTGACCCGACAGTGTATACGGGTCTTCTGGGGACAGCTTTCACCTGCTTGCGGTCGTACGAGGTTGCCGGTAATGAGCAGGACTTGCTATTGTGCTCCAACATTGTTGAGACGTGCTCCGTTTCCGCACTCGCCTCCTCTAGGTAAATTATTGACTGATATTCAAGTATCTGGACTGCACCTCATTGGCTCCTCCTTCCTAGTTTCCAACATGAATTATTTTACTTGTATGAAGAATACGAGTTTTAATATTAAAAGACTAATTTTTAAAAGAAATAATTTTTATTTTTTTCTAAAACAAGGGATTTTCTTTTTAATTGGTCATCAAGTTTCAATCTTAGAATAAATTATCATAAATCCTCTGATCATGGTATAGATAATTTGTTTTGACTAATCGAGTACAAGATAGTTTGAGTATACCAGCGGGGACCATAATATACTATAAAAACGAAAAAGCGATAAATAATCTTTCTTTTGGTTAGGCATTAAATTTTTTTAAAAAAAACACTAAAAGAGAAGAAGTAATTACTGTAACCCAATGAACAAATCACTGCTCATTAAAATAATGATTTCATAAAATTCACCTGACCTAAACTAGAAATTATAGGCAAGATGATTTTTTCACCTTTTAATAATTTGTACATCATTAGGTTAGTAATTTTATTCTTTTTTAACAATAAAATTATTAATTTATTTGTATAATAAAAAATATAATGTTTTTTAACTAGAGGTGTTATAGCCTCAGTTTTTTTTTCGTTTTAAAATAGTGAAATTACCTTATTAGTTTTTAAATTTTGGTTTTAATTTTT